TTTTTTTTTTTTTTTTTTTTGCAAATCAAGCTGGTGTGTTACGCCGAAAGGCGGTTATACCGGCTATACAGATACAGATACAGATACAGAAATCAGAAAAAAATGAAGCGGGCGAATCCGTTAACCAAGAAATTAAATTGGTGTAGCCTAAGTTTAGGATTGAAAATTTTAATGATAAATTAATACACCTAGATCTAATGCATGCAAATATTGATATAAGCTTGTAAAGATGGGTAATTTGGAAAACATACAAATTAAACCTCTGATGAAGTTAAAATCTAGTAATGCCACAATGAAGTGCATCCAACAATTCATCCAAACAAAGCACTGCCAACCGGGTGTAGCCTCTACCAGGCTTCGGGAGGCGGCTGGAAAGAGTAGAAATTGAATAGAGAGATAACATGCCAGGAGAGTTGGTCCGCTATATACATTTTGGCTCGCAAACTGTAATCTCTCTGGCCGGCTAACTCCCCTGGTATACTATTCCCTTTATTTTGGCCAACTTCTACTATTTTCCAGCGACCCGCGATGCCTAGTAGAGGCTATGTTAAAACCAACTGAAGTTATTGCAGGAAACCCTCATCCAGCAGGTGCAAAATAATTTGTACCGCTAGGGGTCCCCACTGACAAGGTGCAGATAAATCTGATAACGTGTTGAAATTGCAATTTTGAGTGTTTTGCTCGGTAGCCTACTTCTGTTTTGTAGCAAGTCCGTGACATTAACGTTTAACATATATATGACGTTAATGTAGTTGGTTTGGCTTGTGACTCACAAATCTGGAGCTCGTTCCCAACTTGCCCTCCACTACAGAAACTGAAGTACGAGATGTTAACCTTTGACCGGAAACACTGGTTAGAGACAAAGTGTGGTGAACAAAATGGCTTCGTCTAGCGCCGTGGAAAGGTTACAGGCCTTAGAGTCCATCGAGAAAGAAATAGCAGCCGTTCTACAAAACGCAGGTACGGAATTACACTTTCTAAAGCCATAAACTGGAAACCTAAACCTTCCCGTTCAGGCTTACGCGCTGAACTATGAGTGAATCATAGCGGTAATTTTTGCGGAGGGAGGGGGGCATGAGTGGGATGTTTTCTTTTAGCCTTTGTTTGGTCGCTTCGTCGCTTCCCTGTCTCGCGATCTAGACTTCTGCTTCGCTATCCTTGTAACGGTTAGACTTCCACGAAAGTTGGAAGTGTTGTTGTCTTTCAGATTCTGTCAAATTATACATTTACATAAACGTTCAAGCAGTTCAGAATACCATAGAAACGCCTGGCTAGAGTAGAAATTCGTTGGCAATAGGTGCGCTGGTGCACCCAACCTAAAAAAAATTTGGTGCACAAAAAAAACAAGTGCTTCTGCAAAAGCTGACCATTTTCGCCGCTTACAGGCTTACAGTTTTTACGAACATTTTCCCCATCCTAGCATTTCAATTTACCTAAGTTATATAAATGGTTCTAGTTCTCATCAACATTGTATATAATGAGAGAACATGCACTTCTATATTTCAACTCTTTAAGTTTAAAACATTACAAAAATCAAGTATATAACAGTTTATAACCTGTTTTCTCTCTTTTAAGAGTCTTTTTAACAGAATAAAAAAATGAGACACAAAAGTACATTTTAACTTAAATTATAAGTAACGTTAATATATATGTATATAATTTTATTCAAAATCTCTTCTATGGCTTTGTCCCCAACATCTAAGTTTACAAACCTCGTGACATTCAACCAGGGCTTTAGCCAGCGCCCGTTTTACCGTCAATTGACGGTATTTTTTCCCGTCGGACGGTAAAAATTTAAGTCCTTACCGTCAACATTGACGGTCAAAAATCGTGGGTGAAGACATTAAACTTAGCAAAAAATGTAGCGAATTTGAATGAGCCACGGCGCGGGGTCTTTCCAAAGCGTGTCGCGTCTTTTCAAAACGCAGCGGGCCCACACATTTCTTATTTAAATACGGCGGGAAAGCTGACTTCAAGGAACGTGCCGATGTCTGTTAACTCGGTTCTTTTCTTCAATGTTGCTGTCTGTTTAAACAACATGTGCTAACGGCCACATAAGAACAATGGCTCGACTCAGACTCACGCTGGTAACTGTACATGACAATAAGATAAATAAACAACATGTGGCAACGAACAAAGAAATATCAAACGTTTTGAAATATACTGTACTTGAATTTTCATACCATCGCAAGAAAACGGAGATCGATCTACGCAAAGTGGCTTTATTATTTATATAAACTTCGTTAAACCACCTTCGAAGACTTGAGCGGCAGCATAAAGATAAATTTTCTGGAGCCGATCGCTGAAGCAAGTTTTTGCCGGCGTACGTAACTCCCTCCGCGGCAAAATCCCATATGCCGTAGCGAAATCGCGTCTCAGCACTTTCCCAAATCAACTCCATGGCCGCTAAAGTCTGCAAATGAGGTTAAACTTCCTCATTTCGGTTGAGAAGCGAAGCTACTAGTATAAAATCATGTGCATGGCGGCCATTTTGTTTGCTACCCGAAGTCTTCCGAATGATCTAAATAAGGAAATCGTCGGAAATCTGAGCCACATCCCTCGCTGTCGGCATGCGCTCGGGGCTGGCTCGGTGGAAATCGGAGGCTGTGGTGTCAGGACTAGGTTTATTTGCATGGCTCGGGAAGCCGCCGAGGCTTGAATCGCAGCGGGATTTGGGCGCCGGGCGGGTCAAACAAAGGGAATATGAAGTTGTGAGGACCATAGTTTTTTTTTCATTCTTCAAATTGCAGATTGTGTAATTTTTATCCTGAAATCTTGAAAATCTATCTGCAAATTGCAGACTGAAGACGGGTATTTAGAACACTGAATACATGAAGTGTGCGGGGGGGCATGATGTAGATCACCGGATCATGATTTTTTTTCGCGTTGACCTTGATTCAACCCTAAAATAATACTCGAAGAGAACTTCAAAAGTTATCTTTTACTAATCATATATAATTGTTTACATTATATCATTTGATCAACCTGATCCATTAAAAATTGTCAATGGAAAATACCTTGCCAAACAATGCAATACCTATTTAAGTTAGTTAAACACTCACTCATTAATTAATTAATTTCCTAAAATACAAAAGACATGTTGGTGAAAGTTAGGCACCCAGGTAATATCAATAGTTCCACGGACAGCTATGTAGGCCGGAGCTTCTATTGCGTGCGATCTACGTTTGGTCAGAAAATACACCCCCCCCCACACACACACACACACACAAAAACACCGATCCGGGAACGCCTGAAAAGGAGGCTTTTAATAAGCTTTGCCTGCAGCGCCTTGATTGGTCGGACGTGTGACCCTCTGGACTGCCGGCTAATGGAAATCTGAACATCTAGACTAATCCACACTGCTAATGCTCATTGACATAATTTATGCAGTTTATTAAAATCCTTGATTACTGTGATTATAGACATGTCTTTATCAACATTTTTGGCAAATAATAAAATCAAGTTATTGTTCAAGACAAATTAAGTTTGTTTTGTCAGCAGCTTTGTTATGCAACATTAATAGAACTATGATTTTGAAATTAGCAACCATAATGGAAAGTATACAAACGTCCAAGGCATAAATGGTAAAAAGTGCACTCGCAACAACGACATCTAGCGACATGCGGCAACTCAGCATGTCTGCATGGCCGTCGCAACAACGACATCTAGCGACATGCGGTGACTTAGCATGTCTGCATGGTCGTTGAAGGGTGGAACCGTTGATCCATCCATCCATCCATGCATCCAATGTCAATCTCGTCTCAGTAACCATTTTCGCTCATGCGAAAATGGTTAAAAAAATTGGGTGAACCATATAAAATAAAACCTAATTACAGATCTTACTGCTCCTCTTCTGAGCTTTTAAGCTCTTAAAAGTCGAAATGGTAGCTAAATCTACAACAAAGATTGCATTATTTTTCTTACACTTAGATGCCAAGAATATCCTGTATACTATTGATATTGTACATTGAATATGTACAAAAATCCTACAAAAATTGGGTGCACAAATTGGGTGCAATAAGTGCACATGCACCTAGTATTTCGAGCTCTAGAATGTAACTAATATAGCAAATTATTTTTGGAAGGTACAATCCTAGCTGTAGCTTTCCTTGTAACGTTGTATTTTATAGCAATGTGCAGAAGTCGACAAGCAAAAGAGGTGCATGAATGACAGCAGTAATCAGGTGACAAACACTACAGGTTGTGGAAGAAGAAAATAACGTTATATATCCTTCATTGATTCTGTGTTGTTTTAGGCCTGGCCGTCCAGGAGCTGTGTAAGGACAAGCCGAACGAGCGTCAGCTGGACAGACACACCGGTCAGTTCCTCAAGTCCCTACAGGACGTGGAGTCTGGACTGTCACAGGAAATCAACTACCTCACACAGGTGGGCAGTCCTAGCTTTCATTATTTGTTAATAAGCAGCAGAATAGACGATCATGTCACCAGCATTTGCTGTCTAGTAACCGTCCTCTTGGATCATACGGTTTGAATCTCTTCATACTGGTAGAGGTTACAATCATTAGAGTGGAATATGTGTTTATCAGCCCTAATTATAAGTTGCTGAAATCATCTAAAGCTGGTGTGAAGATGGTGTGCCAGTCTCTTCTGCTTTCTCTACCATGTACAACTGTCGAGCAATAAGGTTAATCATCATTATCATCTCTCGATGTGTTTAGTGCTGTGCTATTCCCTGTGTGTTCCTTGCTGTGATGTGTGTTCCTATTTTGTTATGCGGGGTCGTGTGGCGTAACGGCAGAGCATTTGGTTCGCAACCAAGAGGTCAAATTCTGCCAAGTCAACAACCTTGTGCCCTCAGGAAAGACACTTTACATGACTTCGCTCAGGTGAAAATGAGTATGCCAGAATTATCATTATCATGATTGTTGGCATTAAAAGAAAACCAAAACCAACTCTAATGTCTTGTGTGTGTGTGTTCCTACTCTGATGTTCCTACTGATGTGATCGTGGAGGTTCTAACCTCCTTGTTGTGACACAGTACAAACCAACACTGTTTCCTGTACATACCAACACTGTTTCCTGCAGGTTGCTACCGGCCAGCCACATGAAGGGTCCAGCTACTCTGCTCAGAAAGAGACTCAGATGGCCCTGCACAGAGTGGAACATGCCAAGAAAAGACTGGCAGATCTCAACACTGTCTGTTCACAGGGATCCTCACAGGGTTCACAGCAGTAATGTTCTACTGTGGGGGAAAAGGATGTGATTACCATGCCGGTAGTCAGGATTTTGAATGGGGGAGTTTCTTCCCACTGTGAGGGACCAGCGAGCGCCGGGGGTATGCTCCTCCGGAAAATTTTAGAAAATTGAACCTTCTGAAATGGTATTTCCTACGTTTTTGAGAGGATTTTAAAGGAAAAAATCAGACACAGCTTTTTTGTTCAATGACAAAGTGAGCAGTTTTTCCTATGATTCCAGCACCGCTGGTGATACGAATCAGTCCATCTTTTAAAGAAAAATCTTGGACCTTTAGATTAAAAGTTGGTTCTTCAGAATCCCCCTGGCTACGGGCATGATTGCACGTGGGGAAAAAGTGAAGAGCTAATCTTCCACTGGCCATGTCAAGAAAGATGAACAATGTGTACAGTATACACAGGTACATTGTACATGTACTAGGAAATTCTCCTAGCTCTTTTTACACTGAAATGAACAGCATTCGTCCATCGTTTACATTACAATTTGCCATCAAATGGTGAGCTGTCTGACTCTTGTCTCGTGAGCAAGGACAGATTGGGAAGCGGTATTGCTAACGGGTAGCTGTGGACAACATGGTCCAAATGTAATGATCATAACTGGTCAAACGTTTATTTTCCTATCATTGTTTTGTTATTTCATTCCCTGTACCATAGGTACAAGTTAGAGAAGTATACTTTGTACACTATTTTTGCTGACGAAACATTAAAATATTAAATCACCAACAACCACAGCTCATTGTCTTCATTAGTAACTGAATTGACAAAGAAGTCCCGGGTTCAAATCCTGCCCGATGTCACCGATCTTGTGCCCTTGGGAAAGGCACTTTACATGACTTTCCTCACTTCACTCAGGTGAACATGAGTACCTAGCTTCGGTTAGGGACATCCCTCGGATAGGACGTTAAATGGAGGTTCCGTGTTTGGAGAGAGCCACACCTTACACGTTAAAGAACCCACCGCACTTATTGAGAAGAGTAGGAGTCCTTCCTGGTGTGAGTGGTTCAAACCTTTATGAGTGCTCCTGTTAGGCTTTTTATGCCGTGGGAGATTATCAAATTAAAAGTGTTCGGGGAAATAAAATTTTTCAATTTTCTTTAATTCCCATTTTACATGTACATCATATAGGGAAATTCACCAATACAGGGCGTGAAAAATACATAAATGATATCAATATTAATTGAAAGAGCAGTAAATTCAGAATGTACAATTTGATTGAAATAACTGCATAGAAGTAAAGGAATTTATATTCTTGCAATAAAAATCACAAGAATGCATGTATATGCAGTACATAAATGTATACCTAGAAGAAACTATTGCTACAATAGATTACTGTTACAGCATACATAATATGTATATTTACTTTTTGCTGCCGATTTACAAGATATTGCAACAGTGTTTTGCTTACAACAATGTATGTACAAACATTTTCAGAAGAAATACAACGCACATGTACTGTGTCATAGCTTTGGCTTCCTTGATTTGGACTGCTAGACTAAAAAGGCGGAACCATGTAACTATCTATCGACAGATAATGGAAATTTAAAGCAATTATGGAAATTTAGTTTTGTACCCAATGCTACAAAAATTCAATGTCCAGATTCTGAAATTTTCCTACTTCATTTTTTTTCCTGACTTGTACTATTCTGGCTACAGATTGACCCCAAAATCCTCTTTTTATTTCCCAACCTGCTTGCTCCATCTTTATTCTGTATCTGGAAATGAAGTTAGCGGAGGAAAAAAATGTTAACTGTGTTTCCTGTTTCAGTCCTGAAAAAATTGGCGACCTCTCTCTATACATAGCTACTGATCCAACTTATACAATACAGTTAACCAAAGTAAAACTTGCATGAGGATACATATATTGTATCTTTCCAATATCAATGTTGGAAAACCTGATAGTACGTTTCTTCACTCAGGTGTGAGATCATGGAGCTAGAAAAGGTCAGTCATCTCATGTCCCTTGCAGGGGTTCACAAAAAAAGGCTAGGGTCGGCAGTTTTTTCTAGGGTCGGTCAGGAAACAGGAAACACAACAATTTTTCTAGGCCTTACCATGGCCTAAAGCTACAAAATCTCATTTCTGAGGATGATATTTTTGTTTGGTGGACGGAACAGGTAAACATGCACATGTAGGTTTCTACAGTACAGATCGCGGGATAAGCATCATCGGGATTCGGGATTTTGCGGGAGATCCCGCGGGAGACTGCGGGATATCCCGCGGGAGTTTGCGGGATATCACGCGGGAGATTGCGGGATATCCCGCGGTATTCTTTCGGGAGGCCTGTCGTGTCCCGCGTACCGCGTAGCGAAAAAACTTGGTGCGAGACCCCGAAGTCTGCCGCGGCTCGGAACGGCGATGGCGGCGTGTCAAATGTTTATTTTTACGTCCTGCCGGGCGACCTGTGCCGGGCCGATGGAGTCTGACGCCAGTCAACTTTGCTACAATTTTGCTACAATTTTGATGGTGTTGAAGCATAGGAATGTACGAAAATAATGTGTATAAGGTGTTTCTCACGCGGTCATAGTTATTATAAAACTGCTACTTTTTTTTCAAAGCTATTGTTCAGCGCAAACTTTAACTTTAAGAAACTACCGTGAATGAATACAATGTAACGTGTAGTAATCCCTCCGTCTCCGGTAAATTCGGCAAGATTGTTACCAAGAAATAAAAATTATGAGGCGTACCGGCAGTAGTTTGTGGTTGTGTTTCATAATCTTGTAGCTGTTGTCTTCTCATGGGTAGCTTGCGTCAAGAGGTCTCCGTATTAGTATTAAGAATTGCGACAATTAAAAGTTTGCCCATCAAAATCCCGGGGCGTGCGTCTCCCCCCTCCCCAAAAACTCTTGCATCAACAACGACCATGTCCATAATTAATTTCGATAGATTGCTATCACCCTGAAAGCAAGTACTTCCACGCGGCTGGCAAAGTTTCTTTCGGTAGGAAAACATTCTACTTCTGTCAGCTACGGGGTCAGCCAACTAGATGAAAACGGAGTCGATTTTTAACAGAACAACGTCAACGCTATAAACTTAGCGCACGCCCAAGACACGGGAGAACCCGAAAAATAAATAAACACGGGAGAACCCGAACTAAACGTGTTTATGCAAAATTTGACGCAAATTAATTCGTTCTCAGACCATAAAACTTGAAATTCACTCGGTACACTCCGTGGAACTAGCCTCCTCACATGTGAAAAACGTTGTTTTGGGATGAAATTGGGATATAAGAAAATTACAATGCCGCATGCCGGCCGTGCAGGGCGGAAAAAGAAGCTACAATCCGACGTACGTATAACAATCGTCAGGCGGTGTTTCTTTGGGGCGGCGCATCTGACTCAACTCTTTGAATTCGCGGCCCGGCTGGTGGGCGGGTCCCCATCTGCGCGCTGTGATTGGCGCGCCAGAACGCCACGTGGTCAGGCGGCGCCGGGGAGTCCGCCAGCGCCGCTGCTGGCGACGTGCGGTTTCTATGGCGACGCGGCGTGGGAACGCCCGGCCCAACACTGGGGGTCTGCATGCCCCTTTTCGTAAGGCGTAATCAGGCGTTTTTTAATTCATTGTCTTCGTAAACCGTAGGCAATCTTCCCTAAAATCAACGTAATTCGTAATCAGTACATTAGCCGCAAAGCGTAAAGTCGTAATCAGCTCTGAAACTTTAACTTTATAGCGAAAATTTTGCGTAATTCGTAATCACTAACCCCCATGCAGGCCCTGAACACTGCGTGGCGCACGAAATGTATCAAAGTTTGAGGCGTAAAGAACCCTTGAATTATGCTTCGCCCCCTTGTTTTACACAATGTTTAATCTCTCTTCCGTAACTCCATACGTCAACCTCCCCTATCTAGGAGAAAAATAAAGAACTCGAGTGGCGATTTGGCACGTCGATGCGTTAGATTTTTTAAAAATTATATCTGAAATAGCGCGGGTCGGGTGACATCAAAATAAAGCCGTCCACGTCGCAAGGCCGGACACAAAACTTGTTCAAGAAGGTTGTATTACTTTGTTATCGTTCTATATCTTATTAAGCCACCAGATTTTCGATATTAAAAAAAGAAATGTTTGGTTAAAAATACTATTTGCTCTACTGTTATTTGCATGCATTGAAAACATACTAAAACATGCACGCATCGTCTGTCTGCGTAAAAATCTGTAGTCAACGCGGTTCAACTTCAAGTAACAGCGGCGCCGGCCCTTCGGAAACCTAAAGTCTCACACCGAAGATCGGGGTTGCGGGAGAGGATTTCGTACCGCGGGATATCCCGATAAATCCCGCAGGAGATCCCGCAAACTCCCGCAGGAGATCCCGCAAACTCCCGCGGGAGATCCCGCAAACTCCCGCGTGATATCCCGCAAACTCCCGCGGGATCTCCCGCGGGACTTGATGCTTATCCCGAGATCTGTACTGTATTTAGCAGAAAATTGAAGTGACTTTTAATTAATATTTCTTTGATTTTGATGGTTTGCAACTTTGCAAGCATTTGTCTAGTAGCATATTCATGTTAAAGGTGTTCAATAATTTCATGGCAGAATTATGGGAAGATGGAAGAATACTCTGTACAAATTCTTCTTTGTCTCTTTGGTGAGAAAAACTTTCAAGAATTGATAAACAGCTTCCAAAACAAGTTAAAGGCAAAAAATTCTGAAAGATACGTGTACATATATCTATATATCAACCTCACTTAGCTTGTGGCAAAGTTATTAAACATATCAAGTACATGAACTGCCTTTTAAGTTACAAGAATTCTCTTAGATAAAAGTAGCTATTCCTTTGTATATGTATATGACTGCAAAGTCATATGCAGTGTCAATTCCTCGCGCTTAGAACTTATATTCGAAGATTTCTCCCCCAAATGCTGACTTTTGTCTTTTTGTAAAAAGATGAGTAAGAGTACTATCCTACAAAGCCAGCTTTAATATGCAAACCTTTCTTCCCCCAAATTTCAATTGTCATGACTTCAACTACATGTAATGTCCTCTTTCTGAAACAACTTCCACATGTGATCTTTGAATTAATTATCTTTGACCAATGAGAGACGAGAAATCCAAGGTTGCATCAATACATCAACCAATGGGAAGCATTTTCTGTACTTCTTTGCTCTGTGAACTGATTAAAATCTGTGAGTTCGTACCATCTCTGGACAGAAGCAACAATATCTATTTGTAAACAGTCACTGCATGTCTTTAACCTTCTCCCTGCTGCCTAACCCTGTAACCAAAACAAATTCGGTACCAAAAGGCTACTTTAGCAGGAGAGGGTTAATACACTTGTTAAAGAGGGTGATGCCAGTGTTGGCAACAGGCACTGTTTTTGACTTAACAGTTGCCAATTACAGCATAACGATATCAAAAAGAGTGTTTTGCCATGTAGGAATGGTGCATGTAGGAACATGTGCTTCAAAGGGGTAACACCTAACTATTACATTAATCCTGTAATTTTTTGGCCACACCTCGTGGTGGGAGCCATAACTTACAGTACCATGATCTGATTGTTATTTAGCCATTTTAGACTTTCTTGTGATGCTGATGTTTTGTCCCTGGTGTGACTGCGGACTCACATGTCAGACCACAGCGTGACTTTTTTGTTCTTGTCGCAGCTGACCATCATCATGCCACTGGGGTGCCACGAACACGCGATCACCGAAGAACTGTGGGCAACAGGGCAAACAGAACACAGAGATAAGCATAAATTGAAAGCTTGAGTGGAAGGTACCATTGTCTCAAAGTTTATGTTGTTCCAATATGATTTCATTGACTCTAAAGCCTTCTTTAAGCACTTTTGACCCAATACTGAAGTCACATGTCTAAAATAGTGGGTCATTTCTCCTGATGAAGTTCACAAAGAACATCAGGCAGTTAACGTTTTATCTGCTAAAGTGGTTGTTCATGCACAAAAGGTGAGATTGTTGTTCCTTTACTCAGCATATAGAGGATGAAAACTCTTCTTACTTGTGTTCCTTTAGCGTCTTCTCTAATCTGAAGGTTGTGATGTTCCAGATGTAAATACTACCGTCTGACGACCCTGCTACAACATACTGGGCATCAGGACTGTAGGGCACAGAAAGCAAAAAAAGGTCAGGTCAAGGGTCATGTTACATCATATCATATTACAATCATATTATACATGCCTGATGACTGTTCAAAAGATAAGGTCTTCTTTCCTAGGGAAAATCCTACCAACAAACTGAAAACCAATCAAAGGCTTTTTTGAAATATACTTTTCACAAAACATTCTGGAGCTATGTAGTCATAATGGTAGTCAGGACTAACTTGGATATCACTCTTAAACATTCAATTACAAATTACTTTGACTACTAACAATACTAACCTGAATATCGCTCTTGTCCAGTCACAGCCCACTTTGAACCCATCAGCACTGAAACACATATCATCAAATGTTTTACACAGAGATTCAGAGAAACTGTGAAAAGGTTACAGTAAAACTCACTCAAGATGCTTTTTGCAAAGTCTGTAAAGTACCAGGAACATTAAACAAAGAAACATTACTTACCAGAACGTCCCTGTCACCTGACTCATTCTCAAGTCAATCAGCTTCAGAGAGTCGTCTCTAGAGCAGCTCAGCAGGTATTTATTATCTGTAGTAAACAAACAAGTCAACAATAACAACAACGTGACAGATCAGGATTTAAAGACAAGAAAAGTAACATTTGCAAAGCAAATGCATAACGTTCACCTATGCATATGGTCTGGTCTGTTAATTCTTGCTTACACACATTCAATTATATATATGGTGACAGTTGTCTAAATCCCTCCTGCCATAAAATTGCAACATGATGTAACCCAACACCAGTTACTATGGTCACAGACGACTGGTTCAGGTCATTGACCTTTTGTATATGGAGAAGAAGAAGAGGAAACAGGGCAAAAACAATGCTTTCTTTCAGTAAATAATTAAACAAAGGACAATTCTATAAGGAAACAACGTTTTGGGAAAGTTAACCTACCTAGTGAAAGATCCAGGGATGTGATTTTCCCCTGTAGTGTAATTTCATTGGCACTGGACTCTGCCCTGTAAGGTTAGTGGTAAAAAAAGTCTGACTGAGCAAAAATTAATTGTATAAGGGATGGCAAGTCTTTTGGTAAAGATGATTGTTTTACAGCAATGGAATGCCAAGGTAAAGAACAACAGTACATGTATGTCGGAAGAAAATTATCTTAAAGAAAAGTAATCTCTTAAGACTGTGGGATCGTGTGGCGTAACTGCAGAGTGCTCGACCAAGAGGTCCTGGGTTCAAGTCCTGACATGCAACTGATCTTGTGCCCTTGGGAAGGCACTTTACACGACTTTCCTCACTTAACTCAAGGGAAAATGAGTATTGTCCTTTTTTTCTTGAGTTCCTGAATTTGTCCTCAGTGTTGGTGGCGGCATGAAATACTAGTAAGTTGAAAAATTTGAGTGTGCCGTCACATTGTCTAGTCATGAAGTTTTGGAATAAAAACAAAAACATGACCTTGAACAATTTCTCAAGGTCATCCGACCTACCTGGTGTCCCAAAATCTTATCCTCTTGTCAAAATGGCCGCTGATGATGTTGGTGCCTGAGAGGTCAGAGGTCACAAGGTCATTACAGCTGGAACCTGCAAAAATGGTTCGGATACCTGAAAAATGAACAGAATAAGGGGTTGATTAGAAAAATTTATAGTAGTGTAATTAGCACTGTTTTTTAATGATCAGGAAAATCTTTTTTGGCATACCTATGGACTTGCTTCTATAGGCTTATCAGAAGCAAGGAGGTTTGATTCTAAACCTCCTTGTCAGATGGCATGAAAATTAAGTTGTCACTCTTTTTTCCACAGAAAAATCAGTTTAAGCAGTGTCACTCACACAGCTTAAAAATGCTCTCTAACAGCTATTTGTGGCAGTGCAACATCTAACATTTTTTTCCACTTCCAGGTAAGAAAGTAAAATGACATCAGAATTGACACTTTTGTCACATGACTTTAGTCATGATGGTGTGATGATTACACAGGTAACACTGCCTCCTAGCAGTTGTGTGAGGTAGTGCAGCTTACGTACATGCCCTGCTCCTGAGGTCCCAGATCTTGAGTGTCCTGTCGTGGCTGCCTGACACCACTCTACTGGAGTCTCCCAGGAACTTGGCTGCTAGGACTCTCCCACTGTGCCCTGTCAGGGTGTGCTGTGGTGGGGAGTAGCAGCAGTTAATGTATGCAAATTATAGCTAGAACAAACCCAAAATATTTTGAACACTGAAAAGCGGATGTAATTTTCAGGTTCTTAAAGATGTTTCCTTACAAGGAGTAACTCCATTTATATTACACTCAATAATTCTTATATAGCAGAAGAGACATACCCATAATAAGAACCCAGCTTTCTGCATCATCTTGTGAACAAAGCGATAAAGAACTTAACTACATGTACCCTAGAGAGGTTACTACTTACTCTTAATCTGTAGTCAGCTACACTCCAAACTCTACTTGCAAAGTCATTAGAAGCTCCCAGTATGTAGTTTTCCTGCAGGAAAGAAAAAGATTGACTGTCATTGATTACATTATAAAAATCATGGCTACAAACTTGTACCCATTTGTATTGTAATGTATGATGATCACACATGTTAACACTGCCCCCTTGCAGCTTACAACATAATGACATTACCTGTGGGTCAAACTCCACTGACATGATGCCAGCATTGCTTCCTGTTAAGACAGCCTTGGAGTCAAGTTTACCTGCAAAACAGCATCAATAAGACTTGTTTTAATTTGACCTTATACAATTTAAAACATGAAAGTCATCACCATAAAAATTCCAAAAGGGACTGCGATGATGAAGTTTAGACATCCAGTTGATGAGATATTCGAGAAAACATTTTCTCAAGCAACTGGATAAATTTTAAAAACTTTAAAAAAGACATTTCCAGTAGCCCAATTAGTCACTAATGAAAAGTAGTGGATGATACTGGAAATGTCTGACTGTTTTCAACAAAATTTATCCAGCTGCTTGAGGAAATGTTTTCTTGAGATCAAACTTACGGTTCATGATTTCCCACAGTTTGAGTTTTCTGTCCGTCCCTCCTGTGGCCACTATTCTCCCTGAAGGGCTGAACCGGATGGCATTCACCTCTCCATCATGGCCGTCCTGTAGACAACACAGCAGGAGTGGATGAATGTGGGAGAGTGAATGAATGAATGGATGGATGGATGGTTGGATGAAGGAATGGATGGATGAATGGATGGATGGATGAAGGAATGGATAGGTAGATGGATGGATGGATGGATGAATGAATGAAGGAATGGATGGATGGGTGTGTGGATGAATGAATGAATGGATGGATCGATGGATGAATGGATGGATGAATGGACGGATGAATGAAGGAATGGATGGATGAGTGTGTGGATGAATGAATGGATGAAGGAATGGATGGATGAATGGATAAATGGATGGATGAATGAATGAATGAATGAATGGATAAATGGAAGAATTGGTGGATGGATGAATGGATGGATGGATGAATGTATGAAAGAATGGATGGAGGGATGAATGGATGATGAATGGATGAAGGAATGGATTAATGAATGAATGGAAGGATGGATGGATGAATGGATGGAAAGATGGATGGATGAATGGATGGAAGGATGGATGGATGAATGGATGGATGAATGAATGGAAGAATGGATGGATGGATGAATGAATGGAATGAATATATGAATGGATATATGTATGGATGAATGGATATATATGGATGAATGAATGAATGAATGAATGCAGGGAAAGGATAAGGAAGGGTGGAAGGATGGACCCAGCTCTACATGTATCAGCATCAGAAGAGTTTGTAAGTAAAGAGAAAAGGGGAAAACTTGACTTACCGACTTGCTAATGGCTGTTGAAGGAAGTGTGACTGTGACGTAGTGCCGGGGCGGGGCACCTGCAGCAGAGGTCTGGGGTTCGAATCCGTCATCATGTGAAGACGACCTTTTTTTACCACTGGAGGTCGGAAGAAAGATTTGTAGGATATGACAAACAATAACTAACTTATATATTTCTCATCAGCAATAATCTTTTTCATGTACAACTACAATTTATACAGAATGCTCAGCTATATTCAAAAGCCACCTTTCTCAAAAGTCAGAAAAAGAATATTAAAAGTTGTATCGTATGTATCTCATAAAAAAAATCTTCTATACGTACGCCAGTAATCCTGCAATGGATTCAATAAAGCCAACATGTCCAGGGTTAGCAGGGACCTCCGATGTGGAGGAGTTAAACATTCTGTAGAACAGGGACATTACAGAACTAATGATCACAAGCACATTGGCAGAATGTACTGCACCTGCGCAAGACCCGTAATGTATTGTGCTCAGCACTTCGACAGAACCTCTCATATAAGGTCATATTTGTGCCTATGAGGTTAACATTCCGTCTGTAGTTTCCAAATGTTATGTTGGAGAAAATGTTGTCTGCAACAGGCAAAATTCTGATGCAATGTTGACCAAAAATGCAACAATAACCGTGAGAAATGGGGGGTTTGCGTAGGCGCAGTACTTTCTGCCGATGTGCTATGATCACACAGTATGTCATCTTCAGGGTAATACATTATTCATGACCTTGTTCAGAGAACATTCATACTCTAGTATTTTTTTTTTTTAACGGTGTCACTCAATGCAAGGCCATTTGGCCACTTCTAGGCATAGAGCTAGCCTGTAACCGTAACAGCAACTCTTCTCCCTGAGTCAGAAACATCATCACAAGTAGTGAGGACTAACTGACCCACTAGGAGAAGCAGGGGTTACGAGGCTGGTCGGGAAAATTCCCGTATGAGTAGTATGAGTAGTAATCAAGAGCATTCACTCCTGAGTTATTGAGAAGCTATTACATGTACCTAGTTACCAAGAACACCTATAACCTAGTAATGAACACCATTTATTAGCTAACTATTGAGAACAGTCATTATTAGTTACGTCAATGAAGATTAGACATCCAGGTAATGAGATACACAACAAAACTGTTACTAAAGTATAGCTGGATACTTTGAAAACTGTCAAACGTTTCACGTAGCATCCACAACTTTTCGTCAGTGACTAGCAGTATCTGCAGTTGAAATGTGAAGCTATGAATTCATTATTAGTTATTGAGGACATTATTATTAGTTACCTAGTTATTGGTGAACCAGAGGGTGCTGTTTGGTCTGGTTGACCATTCTCTGGAGACCTGTGCAGAAAACATTAAATCAGTGCAACTTTTTTCTTCAATATCACTGACTACTTTACAAGTTCTCTTGTTCCAACACCTTGAGCTACACAACCTCTCTTCACCAACAATGACCACCAAACCTTACAACAACTGTGCACATTTTATCATAAGGCCACACCAATTCAATTTCTTGGTTAACGGATTTTTCTAGAAAAATAATGGGTCGGGTGGGCGAAAAAAAAAAAAAAATAAAAACAGGCCTAGGCATCCTATTATCGCCCAAAATGGTACGATAGGAGCCATGAAGTCAACACACCAGGCTGGTTCAAAATTTAAAGAATGAATTTTGAACTTTTAATGATACCATTGCATTGAAAAATGGAATAACTGTAACAACTAGGATGGAAAGGACTGTTCTCAACTGTTCGGGGCAAAATAAGAGCATTTTGCAGTTGATTCTGAATTTTTATTTTTATTTGCAAATCAGAAAAAAATGAAGCGGGCGAATCCGTTAACCAAGAAATTAAATTGCTGTGGCCTAAGTGTGGTGATGTTTCGTTGTATTTTTTCAGCCTTTTTGCTCACTCAAACTGCCAACAGAGACTTGAAAGCACGCCACCTCCACCAAAACCATACTGTTTATCCCATGCCCTTGTACCCTGCAGTTTGAAGCAAGCTGCTAGGGGGATCGGATAACATTCCTGTAAAAAATACCTTGGCATCTGTACCGTTCCTGATTTTTTCCGAAAATGAACTTTCTTCTTTGACCCAGGCCTACCCATAGAAAAATCAAACAATGAATACCATTTGATGGGCTACTCTCATAACATGTTTGTTAGACAAAATCTACAAAAGGTAACTTTAAGAATCATTACCAGCTTTTGATGTTACAGAATCTATTGGCTTACTTGTCAGTTACTGGAGGGCTGGGTTCCTTGGCAGCCTCTGCTAATTCTCTCTGGAGTTTGGCTTGTCTTTTTCTGTAAAAACAGGGAGTGAAGTTTCTCATTTCTTCATCATTGCACATCTTTGACATCTGTTCAGCTAAAATGGAATACTCCTTTCCGATTAATCATTGATAAATATTACTAGTAATCGCATTCAAATGAATATGACTTATGACTTAATGACTATGAAAGGAATACAAAAAGTATTTGAAAAATTACATTTGAGTTTTAACATGAGGGCTTCAACTGTCTTTTTGACACAACTCCAGTCCTATTCATGAATTTTCATGTGATACAACAGCCTTCTTCAAGAAAACTGGCCCACTCACTTAGATAGATAGAAGATAGAAGCATCTGTTGAAATTTCATTAAATTTAGATCAGCTCAAACTTTTATCATGCTGCTTACTAACATACATATAATTACTAACATACATATAATCACTAATATACATAGAATTATTATATACATGTACTAGTATATTAGAAGCTTTTATTCTGATGGTAAGAGTTTATACCTGGCCATTTGGTCGTTTTCAAAGTTCATTTTGTCGGCGTCTCTAGACTTCTGCTGCAGCCATCTCTCGACCAGTTCCTGGTTCTCTGCCTGCGTCTTCCGCAACTTGTCCTCAAGGGCACTGAAGGTCATCTGTAAGGCCTGGTGCTCATCTCGTAATGCCTGAAGCAAAGCACGAAAATGAAAGGCATCCAATGCAGTTATTAGGGCTTGGAAACCAGATTTTTCAAAGTCAATATTCTAGTCACTTATCTACATACTAAGTTGAAAGAACACTGTCTACCAACATTCATGGAACAAAAATACTGAAAATTCTGACGAAAAACGGTTACTGGAAGGGCCCTGGGCTGATTTTTTAGGTACCACCAAGAAAACAAAGGACTCGACTCTTGTTTATGCAGTTTTTGATGTCTTAAGTATGAAATACTGATTCAAAAGTGCTAATGTGACGCAGTATGTGTCAATATCAGTGTCATACAGATTGCCTTATCATTCAGAATATTTCCAGTTTTGCCTCCTTGAAATTGCATTGGATGCCTTTAAAGTATTTGAGCTAACAACAGGGCTCAAAATCCTTTACCGGTTATGCAAAACAAACTAGAGAAGTAACATTCGCAAAGCAAATGCATACTGTTTACCTTCGGACATGGTCTGCTCTGTTAATTCAAACACATTCACATACATGTACTACTAGTATATGGTGACAGGAGCAGAGCAGACCATGAAATTGCAACATTATGTAACCCAACACCAGTCCCCATGGTGACAGATGGCTACAAATCATGTCATTGGTCAGGTCATAGGTCACTGTTTGGAGAAGGAGAAGAGGAAGAAACTGAGCAAAAACAATATGTTTTCCTTCGGTAAACATAACAAAGCTACCCTGTACGTGTACCTGGTGCAGTGCATCCTTCTCCAGAATAGCCTGCTCCAGGTTTCGACACTCGGCTTTCAGAGCCTCCAGGTGAGTTTCAGTGTCTAACAGCTTGTTCTCCTTCTCAGCCAGGACCTTCTCTTTCTCCTGTAGAGCACTGTTCAGGTCGATGATCTGTTGCGCATTCTGGAGAAGAAAAAGAAACACAATTCAGGATTCTCAGTAAGATTTTTCACAGCATAGATGTCAGGTACAGAGGACAACTTTAAATGGAACAAGCCGTGCTTCGAGTCCCAAAAACATGACAATAGCAGGGTGCCAGTATTCTTCCTGAAAAATTTGAAACTCATATATCCCCTTCAGACATTATTATTTGTTTTCTGAGAGACAGATTTTGTAATGTCAATGTTTTCCCTTTGTTACCACTTTATTCTAAAGTCAAATTTTTATTTTTATAGAGATTTATTAAGGTTCTCCATACAAAAACACCCCTACGATGGTTGAAAGACAGTGTAGGGGGCTTAATCACAGTGTAGAGGGTCCAAATCACAACTTAGCCTTGTGAGAACTATGCAATTCTATGTTATATGTCAAAAGTGTATGTGTGTGGGGGGGGGAGGGCATTTTATTCTGAAATTTCAATTTGGTCAAAAGACTTATAATGGTTTTAGAAGTTGTATTTTTTCCTAAACATCTCGGTTGTTTCCATGTGTTTCCCAATTTTTCCTACCATAAAGAACTGTAATATTCTATGACAGTACCTCTCCTTTTCTTCTGTGCAGTTCAGTGAGTTCTTCCTGTAGTTTAAAAAGCTTCTGTTCCAGGGCCTGGGTTTTCTCTCCTTTACTACCAGTTCCTGCATTTGCACTGAGGAAGAAACACAGAGTTTAGATCTCACCATAAGTATTAAAGATAAGACTTTCTATAAAGAATTATGTAAGTTCTAAAATGTATCCAAGAGTGCAAACCTCAAGCATTAGCAACATAGGATAATGACATGTTTGTAATTTTAAACGAAGGCTACATTTTGAGAGGGAGCTGCTAGGAGGAATGAAATTCATATTATCAGAGCAACAATATTAATACAAATGCAACCTCTTGCAAAGTCATCTAAGCAAAGTGTAATAAAGTACAAGTAATGTTACATCTATAGAACATGTATGTATCAAACCATTATCTCACACTCACTCACTCACACTCACTCACTCACTCACTCACTCACTCACTCACTCACTCAGTCTCACAGCTGTAAGCCATTATCTAGAAAATCTTAATGTTTATGTTTATGTTTACCGAAGGAAAACATATTATTTTTGCTCAGTTTCTTCCTCTTCCTCTCCAAACCAATAAGGTCAATGACCTGAACCAGGCTGTCTGTCACCATAGTACATGTAACTGGTGTTGGGTTACATCATGTTGCAATTTTATAGCAGGAGGGATTTAGATTCCTGTCTGACCATATATATAAATGTCTTTGAGTAAGAATTAACAGAGTAGACCATATGCAAAGGTAAACAGTATGCATTTCCTTTGCAAATGTTATCTTTCTAGTTACAGTTTAGTGAAAAATGTACCTTGCATCTAAGACTTTGACCTCCAGGTCTAGTTTGTCTTGTTTCAGTCTTTCTGTTTGCAGCTGCAGCTGGACATTTTGAGACTTCAGGGTGTCTGCATTCTCAAACAACTTATTGTCTGAAAAATACATCAATAGAAGGTTATCAATACGCAACAGGTGAATTAACGATGCAACAAAATAAAACATGGACCACTGAAATGACATAGAAAGTTCCTCAAAAACATGCCTAGAAGACTGAGCCAAACCCTACATCTGCTTACACTGTTAAGGGGGGGGGGGGCACATGCCCTTTACCGTAGAGTGTAAACGGCCATTTTAATTCTACATAGAGCATAGACGGACCACTCTAATTCAACATAGAGCGTAATTGGCACATTTTGAGCATATTGACGTATTCATCATTTTAATTCTATGTAATGCATTGTAGCCACTTGGAATTTATCGTTAAGCGTAATTGTGAGGTTTCCTGAATTCAGCGTAATACCTAGCCAGCTCTTAGCATACAGCGTTGTGAAGACCCCCTACCCCAACCCCCATGCAGAACCTCTTACAGATTATGCACAGCAACCAATCAAGACAGGCAACCAAATATAATACCAAAATGTAATTATTGTCCCCAAGTTCAAGCCACTAATCTTGTAGGTTTGATGGTTGGTTGTCAAAGATTCATTTGCATAACACTGTGGCTAGCAAACGGACCTGATACCACAGGGACGAAACCTACGTTTTTTCACTTCCGTATGTGAAGAATCTGAAAGCAGTAACACATTCTATCCACGTCTTGTTGCGTTGCTATCAAATTATATGGCCTTAAAAATGATGTAAACACCTCAAAACCTTAACTTTTCTTTTGATTTCGACCATTGAAAAGTCTCTACCAGCATCATAATCTATCAGTGACTTGTCTTACAGCACAAAATTCACAGACGTCTAGTTGCTAACAGTAGAACACTTCACAACAAAATGCAGGTGCACAAAACGCCCCGTCGGTTGTTTTTGCATCATCACGAAAATTTGTTGCAGTTACATCCAGCATTTTCTCCGTTCTAGGCCACTGCCTCCACCAAATGTTCACGAAAAGAGGTTCTCAAAACTTACGGGCGTGTATGACATCCGCGAAGAAGTGCGTCTGTACCCTGTTTCTGTCTCGGAGACGAAGTAAAATTGTTTGTTTCCAACCTCCTTCCTCTGAACCGCTGGCAGCCATACTGTCTGTCGTCTTTTCCGGGATGAGGCTCAGAACATTCCATTGCAATATAGGAGGGCGATTTCTGAATTTAGCCACAGAATGTTACGCAAATATGCCATATAATAGCTTATTTTGACCTTGTAGAATCTATGTATGTATAATATATGATATATAAAATAAGTTTTTGACTCTCTTAAATACAAATATAATGGATAACTTAATTGTGTTTTTACCCCCCATATCGGAATGAACTACGCTAATTTCCGTTCTCGTGCCCAGGCAGGGGTCAAAGTTCGACAGTTTTTCTAACTTCTCTATGACTCATGAACAGGTGCATCACATTGCAACATGCTTCAATTGTTGCTTGATTTGGGGAAAAAAAGACGAAACAAGAAATTTCGATCAACATGCTGAAAATGGGCAAAGATGTCTGTTTTTCCATGCCGGAACGTGGATGACAGATAAATGAAATATTGTATGAAATGTGAAGAGAGGAGACAAGACAAGGCTCTGATTTAATGTTTTGTCTTTTACTTTGATGCAGTGATGTATTTCATTCCATTTATATGGTGGCTGTGATGTTCCCATTGAATCAAAACCATTTGTACATGATGATTGAAAACTTTTATTTTTTAGAGGTGGTGCAGCGAGAAATTAATGTTATAATAGTTGGTAGTAAACTTAGCACAATATAGATATCATTTCTTGTTTAACAAGGATTATGATATCAAATTTGAAAATGTAGGAATCTTGTTTTTCTGGCCCACCTGCTTTTTTTTTCACCCTGTCGCATTAGCTTTGGAGTCTGTGGAGGATGTCATCCATAAAATTTACCTGTGGCCATAGAAAAAAAACTGGTTTGCGTGTCGTAACGTTATAGACGGATGAATCATGATAAATGAACAAATGCTTCAGAAAATCTTAGTTTTAATCTGATACATGTACCAACCATCTTGTTTCATTCTTGTAACTTGCAGGATTGTTACGATTTCAGGAAAATGCAAAATATTTCTTGCGTTGGCCGGGAATCGAACCCGGATCTACTGCTTGGAAGGCAACAATGCTGACCATTACACCACCAACGCCTTGATGTATAATTTGATGTCAGACCGAAATGCGAAGACTATGCCATTTTTGCAAATATTTATAGAAAATAAAGTGCTGCCGCTAGGGCGCATTTTTATTAGACGGAACTACATGCCGAATTCCGTTACAGTTTCGTCATGCCCTTCAAAAATAAACCGCACCAAGTACAAGCAAACGATATAGTTGTTCAAATAGTATTGAAACAGGAAGAAAACTTCATCTGGCTTGGTTCCTTCTGCTTCCTTTGCGTTATGGCAGTCCCATATGGTCTAGTGGTTAGGATTTGGCGCTCTCACCGCCAAGGCCCGGGTTCGATTCCCGATTCACTAAGTTTTGTGGTATGGGCTCCCTTGGCATGCTATCTCTCTATTTGGCCGATTTCTACTCTTTCCAGTCGCCTCCCGAAGCCTGGTATCTATATTTTTTAAATCTATTTTGTACCATGCCCAAGGCACAGTGGACGTGATCACGTCGTGTTGACTATCTAAGAGTTCCAGAGAGAGAATTTGGCGGTCATTATCGAATTAGACATGCCTGTTATCGGTAGCGTTTTTGTCACGGTTGGTATGGTGTTGTTTCATTTGTTCAAACTTCTCTAATTTTCTAACAACGCAAATATGAACAACAAGATTAATTTCTTCCTTGGCACTTAACCTTATGTCTTTACAACGAAGCTATGTAAATAAAAGCTGCAGAGACGCAAGCACTACCATACACATTCACGGAATTTTCTTACTCCATACTTAGCGTTGACTTGTGTTGTTGGGTGAAAGGAGAGTTGGTGTTCCCGCAGAGCTCCCCAGAAAACAGAAAAGATCGGCTTGGCACAACCATTTATCACTTCAAAAACTATTCCACGGGGAACAGAAGGATTGTATCTACACTGGTTTTGTGTGTAAGAAAGAATGTTACGTTGTTGCGGCGTACCAATTGTTGTGAATTTTAAAGACAATCAAAACACATTACTAAGTATATAACGTTAGGCATTGTTTTCAATGGTTTGGATATTTGAGATAATGATTCATGCCATATCTGAGGAGATTTTAAAAAAGAAAACAGTTTTGGTTCGATATCTGTAGTCGTCTGATAAAAAATACCCCTTTTGACTAAATTAGGATTCAAACAACGCTTAACATCGGAATTTCGGGATAGGCTCGTCAAATTAAAATGTAATATTATGAGGACACATGCTATTCTTTCTTTGGCCCTCAGCAAATGAAAACCGAGACTCCGGTCAAACCGTATTTGTCCTACTCCCCACGTGTCTGCCGAAGTCGCATATTTCAGACCGGTGTAGGGTCACCTAGACAACCGCCGCTCCGCAGGCGTTCTTCCCGCTCACAATACAGCAACATCTGCGAGAGAAACACACCAACACGGAGAGGAAATTCTGAGAGACTTTCCTGGTAAATAAGGAGTGGAGAGGAGAGATTTTGTACGTCTGGCAGGAATTGGGAGTTTCTGTGGAGAACTGAGGATGTCCATGTCACCGTTTTGTGATGTCACCACGTGGGAGGAGTTTAGCTACGACCATTTCAGGTACGGTCCACGGCTAGTAGGTACGTACGGTCTGCTTTTGTGACAAAACGTCGTCTGAAAACCGTGAGCATATTTTTCCACTTCTTTTTCGCATTACCTTTACAATACAGCTGGAATTATACGGTACTATAGCATGTTGTTGCAAAATGATCGGAATCAGAAAGCAATATAAAGTGCTATTATGGTTGTTGGCTGAGTCGTTTGTCAACAGTGGGTACGGTCTGCGTTTGTACAAAAGTCGTCTGAAAACAGCATATTTTTCTATTTCATTTCGCCTACTCTTTGCAATATACCATATAGCCGCAACCAAACAACTCCATGCCGCAACTAGGCGACACTATATAACGTTGAATGGAATCAGAAGGCCTGGTGATGAAATGCTATATATCATTGTTGAATGTCGTCTGTCAATCTGTCAGCAACAACGAACACTATCAAACTGTACAAACCAAAAACAAACGCAGAAAAGAAGAGGTTCTTGTACCGAATGGCTAAGAACTGGAACACTTCACAAGATAGGACAATGATTGCATGTGTTAAGTGGATTTGAAGTATGGTGGTCTGTGTTGTTACCGTGTGTTAATGTTATTTTGTGATGGTTGCTATTTTATATTGTTGCATTGTTGTACTGTATTATGTGATGGACCACTGGAAGAATAGCTGAGCTAAATGCTAAAGCGAAATGCCAAAGCTAAATGCTAAAGTTAAATGTGGATCTAAATAAAGTCAAAATCAATCCTCCAGAGATCCGGACCCTACCATTACCGACGAAAGGGGTGGTGGCTGCTGCACGAAAGGAGCGACGAAAAAGGAACATGACGAGATTTGGAGCTACTCCAGTAAACCCCTGAATAAAGCCCTGCTGCGGTCCGTGGCCGCGGACAGACAGACGTGCCAGGACGCCGTCACCATGTTCACGGACATCCTGGTCTACACCGCCCGGAAGTCTCTGAAGGACGTGCCGGGGGACACGCGGCTGGTGGAACATGTCTTCAGACAGGCTATGAAACGGGTACATGTAATATCCAAGCAGATGTTGGGTGAAAAATTGTGAAGGTAACCTTACGATCTTCACCCCAACATCTGCTTGGAGATTAGGGTACATGTAGCTAGAGCAAGAAGTTTAAATCAATTGTATTTAACCTCCTTGGTTAGAGTGAGAATATTCTTATCATGACATTTCTCTTCGAAAGAAAACCCACTTTATCCTTTATGTTTTGAAGTCTGGTTTCTTACTATTATTCAGACTAAACAATGAAATGATTGGCAGCATCTGCATGGGATATCGACTTTAACAATAATCTTTTATAACAGCGTATTACGTGTCTTTCATAACAGGAAATTCTTCAAGATGAACTATACTGTCAACTCGTCAAACAACTGACAAACAATAAAAAGCGGTTAGTATACATATAATTACTATACGGTGGCTATCGAGATATGAATCCCATGTTTGATACGTAACATACTAGTATATAAACATATATAAACATCTATCAACACATATAATCATATAAACATATATTAACATATATACGTAACATGCATTACGTATCTTATTTTGTACGCGTATCGTGTCACAAACAAACATCATTTTAGGTAAAAATGATTCTCACCTGCAGTTCCAATGAAGACCGCTGCTGGGAGCTGTTGTGGTTGTGTGCTGGGTGTTTCCCATGCAGGTTAGTATCAGACACGTAATCTAACAACAAGTATATATTCAATTACATCGTATAAAAAATGAAGTCGTCGACGTCGTGGTCATCACTGTCACTAGGATTACTGACATAATGATGTTATTATCTACGTACGTATTATCATTAGGTTACTTTGACTAAAAAGTAATACATGTGTATTCTAAAATCAGTTCATGATTGAACTTCTTGACATACGTGTGTCCACAGTGAGCCTCTGAGGTTCCACGTGACGTCATTCCTACTTCACAAACGACGGTCTCCTCTGGCACGTGACTGTCTCCTCAGACTGGAGAGGACCGTGCAGTAAGTACAGTAAAAAAAGAGGATTTCGGAGAGGTTGAGGAGTTTCCTAGAAACTCCACGTTCTTGTGGCTTTTTCATCCTATCTGCAGTCAACTATCACTTTGAAAATGTGACGTCAAATAGCTATACCGTATTTATACCACGTCGGCAGAACGTACTGCACCTGCGCGAATCCCGTAATGTATTGTACATAGCATTTCAGCAGAATGTCTCATATAAGGTTGTATTCGCTAATATAAGGTTAGCATCTCGACCGTAGTTTCCAAATATTATGTCGGAAAGAATATCCTCTGCAACAGGCAAAATTCTGATGCAACGTTGACCAAAAACCCAACGAAAAACGCGAAAATACGGAGTTCTGCGCAGGCGCAGTACGTTCTGCCGACGTGCTATTTATGGGCATGTTGAGCTAATTTGTGA